AAAAAAAAAAAAAAAAAAAAAAAAATCTAATGATTCCTTTTCAAAGATTGGAAGGAACCAAACCTTTCCTAGGTTTTCCCTTGGAGCAACGTTCAGTACCTGGTTTAAGGATAAAGGAGAGAACTCTCAGGCTCTTGACAAATTACAAGATGAGTATTAACAAAATAATCCCGACAAACTAGAAACTATGTTTTTCCATAAAAAATGGTGTAACCAAAATGGCACCTTTGTAAGCCCCTGGTGCTGGATGCAGTGGATGGAGGCTGACAGTGGGTAACGCCTGTGTCTTCTTGTCCAGGCCAGTGAGAGGCGTGTCCACCTCGTCGTGTCCCGCCGGGTTCGGCAGCGGAGCCCTGACATCTTTCAGGAAGTCGGCTGGAACAGTAATGGCAACCGGTCCCCAGGGCCAGGGGAGAGGAGCAACACTCCCAAGGTGAGGCCCCCAGGGCAGGTCTCCTGCTCCTGCAAGGAGCTATTTTTTGGGAAGGCTGCTTGCTTTAATATTTCTAAGTGTCGCCTCTGGACTTTTTCACTTCAACACTTTGACTTGTAAAACTACAAGCCCAAAGTCCCATATTTAAGACTTGAAGAGATAACAGGTGTCTCCCATCCAAGCAGGAGAGAGGACGGTCCAGGAACGTTTTGAAACCCGATCATGCAGGCCTCATACAGGGACCTGATTTCTAGTCTAACCCAAATAAAACTCTTGGCATGTTTTTACCAAGAGTTACCTTGTTTAAGGACTGTATTTTATTCACTTTGAAGTGAAGCAACAGTTTGCTTCGTTTTTGGCTTTTGAATGTTTCAGTCTGACTAAAATTAAAATAATGATTTCCCCATTATTTTTAGTTTTGGTTTGTGTTTGCCAAAGGGCCCAGGAAGATAATTTAAACACTTCGAGCTCATGTAACATTAGGGAGTGGTGGGGATTGGGGTAAACCAGAGAGCATATGTTACATAGCATTCAAATCCAGAAAACTCTAAAACACTGTGGATCTGTGGGTAGAATTCATTCTTCAGGCCAACAGTTTGCAGCCTCTCTTTAAATGAAGTGACTCAGCCCAATTTGTACTTCTCTCTGTGACCTCTATTGGGGGCAATGCCTTAACCTCTTCATTTGGATGTGTGTTTAAGCAGCACAAACCTTGTTTAGTCCAAATTAAGAGTCCTATGGCTTTGGCTTGGCATCCTGTTGTGATGCTAATGAGCTTCTTTCAGTCATTTCTCCTGAATTCTGGTTTAATTGCATCACTTGTAACTAAAAAAAATTCTTAAAGGTAGCTCATTCTTCTAGCAACAGAGAGTAGGGAATGCCCTGTTTTTTCCACGTCAATCTATGAGTTGGTTGGAATAGCTTACAAATTTAGTTTTTGAGTAACATATACAGAAACAATATTCAAATTTTCTATTTTGGAACATCTCTGCTTTATACTGTGTTAATTACAGCGCCGACAGGGTTATGCACCCCTCCCAGTTCTCCAGCCAGCCAAGCCTCATAAATCCATAAATTCCATGTTGATTTACAATAAGGAGTCTAGACACTCCAAATATGTCCTACTGAAACATTTTATGGATAAGGACTCCCTGATGTCTTTTTGCTAGTAAATACCTAATGTTTAAATTTAACGGATAGTCTTTGTTAGTGAAAAACTAGTTTATTAGCTTAATTAACTAACTGAAGTTTTTATCCAATTAACTAATTTTAGTTGAATTAGCTAGAATATATCATATTCTAAGTTATCAAATTGTGGAGAAGGCAGCCTCCATCTGCATTGTGGTTTTATCATTCCTTCCACCTCTTCATCATGAAGGAGCCAGGAGGATCCGGTCACATTTCTGCTGTAACCCTCTGTCATGAGTCGTAATTCCATGAAAGGTACAAACTGACTTAGTGGGAATTGTAATTATTTCCATTTTAACTTACATTCTATCTGCCTTCTGAAATATCTTCACAAAAAAGTAATAGATTTAAAATAAAACTGAGATATATATGGCTGTTTGATGATTGCAGTTTTTATATTCTTACTAAAATTTTGTTTGGTTTAGGAAACCAGGAAGCTTTTTAAAAATCAGAGCTTAAACAAGTCAAAGAAATACCAAAGACGACAAAGCAGGATTTGTGGGACAGAAAACGTTTAGCCAATTTAAAAAGTTAGGGAATGATAGGCATCACATTTTGCATGTTTCCCTCTGTGGGGAGGAAGACTATGAGCAGGAAGAGGCACAGGGGCACTAAGTGCACTTGGAATGTTTATTTCTAATGCAGAGTCTTGAGGTACATGGGTAGGTCATTTTGTTATTCTTTATGCTTGTCTAAAATGTTTTATTCTAAAAATCTAAAGCAAAAATTATAAAATAGAAAAATGTCTTATAGTTTGGCAAATACTCAGGTACCCATGGTGTTTTTAATTAGCCTAAACTATTTTATCATAAATTATGTTTTTGAACATTGGGGAACATTCTAAGGTGTCCAAAGTAAGGTGAGGAGAGTGGAGAGAAAAGATAGACAGGCTGGGCACAGTGGCTCACGCCTGTAATCCCAACACTTTGGGAGGCTGAGGTGGGTGGATCACCTGAGGTCGGGAGTTCGAGACCAACCTGACCAACATGGAGAAACCCTGTCTCTACTAAAAAAAATACAAATTTTGCCCGGCATGGTGGTGCATGCCTGTAATCCCAGCTACTCGGGAGGCTGAAGCAGGCAAATCACTTGAACCCAGGAAGCAGAGGTTGCGGTGAGCTGAGATTGTGCCATTGCACTCCAGCCTGGGCGACAAGAGCAAAACTTTGTATCAAAAAATAGCAACAACAACAACAGATAAATAGAAAAGTCATCTCTATCATATAAAACTCTCCTTCTCTCCAGCCAAAGTCAGGCAACCCTGGGTGTCTGAAGCTTTCACAGATGGTTTTTTTCCATTGCTGACATTGGTCTCTTTCTGGCTGAGAAAGGAAATGGTTATGGACTTTGGTTCATGAGACACAGGACACGTGGGCATGTGTCGTATTTGTGGCATTTCAGCCACTGCATGCAGCCCCTCAGTGCACAACTAAACATCTCTTGCTCACTGCAGGCAAGGCCGTCTGGTAAGCACTGAGCAGGTGTGAAAGAAGACTCTATAAATAAATATGGTTACTTTTTTTAACTTAGAGAAGTTCCCGATACTCATAAATGTTTTTGAAATGCTGACTCACTACTATCAGAAATAAATGGCTGACTTGAGAAATTTTGGGTGCGGTTCACTCTGTGTGTTTAAGATTCCTCCATGGCCAGGTGCAGTGGCTTACACTTGTAATCCCAGCACTTTGGGAGGCCAAGGCACTTCAGGCCAGGAGTTCATGACCAGCCTGGGCAACAAAGCAAGACTTTGTCTCTACCAAAAAAAATTTTTTAAATCTATTTTTCCAGTGGTTACCAATCTGTTCCTCCCTCCATTTTAACTCTTTCCTTTTGAAATGTAAACTTTATCCAAGCTAACCTATCGAATTTGCGACCATGTAACCCTGTTATGGTTGGGGGTGGATAAGGTGAGGGTTCTTTCCACGTGTCTTTCTCTGTCATTTCAAGAACCACCATCATATTTATGCAGCTTTGGTAGTTTTGCATGTAGAAAAAATACCCACTTTGCATTGTCTACATACAAAAACTATCAAAGTTGTGAATTCATGTGTGGTTTTTCTGTCTGTGCCTTCAGCCCCTCCATCCTACAATTACTTGTCACGAGAAGGTGGTAGATATCCGAAAAGACCCCGGCGAATCTCTCGGCATGACCGTCGCAGGGGGAGCATCACACAGAGAATGGGATTTGCCTATCTATGTCATCAGTGTTGAGCCCGGAGGAGTCATAAGCAGAGACGGAAGAATAAAAACAGGTAAAAAGTAAAGGGATTTTAAAGGCACTGGGGTGTCAGAGTATTAAGAGAAATTAATAGCTTGTTGTGTTAGGCAACCATTTTCAAAATTAATGAGAGAATGTGGGAGTGATCAGCCAGGACTTTTGCCACCCATTGACCATGATTGGTTTGAGTATAGTTACTGGATCAGGCTCCACTCTTCTCAATTACAACCCACCAAAGAACCGCTTAGAATGAGCAGAACTAAATTATTACTTGCAAGTAAAGCTAGAATCTCCAAACTGTTCCAGGAATTAATAGAGAACTATACGGTTATGAGCAATTTGCCTCTATTAAACGGCATAATTTAGTTCCATTCATTCTAAGTGGTTCTTTGGTAGGTTGATTCAGTGATCAAATATGAATTATTCCATTATATGGGTTAGATAGAGAAAGTCATTTGATAGATTTGATTCGATGAATACTTATTAAGTGAAAGTGTCATGCTAGATACTTTCCCAGGTGAAAAGTATTTCACTACCTTAAGCTCATGTGTTCTGGCCTACTTTGAGTTAATGAAGGTGATATCAAATTTGCCTCTACAAATATGTATCCTTAATAATATTGTCAATTCATACAAGATGGTAGCTCAGATTAATGAGGAATTACGCCATTTAAAAGTCCAGATTCAAGAGAGAGGCTGTGTAGTTTCCCAAGTACAGTTGCTGAGTCTGAGGAGTTATGGGGAGACAGAAAGGACTCAAGGCCTTTCTCTCCTCCTGTCTTTTTGCTCTTGCTATGCTTATCCTGTATAAGAAAGATGATAAGCAAAGGGGGACACAAAAAACAAGATGGAGACAAAAGAATAGAAAATGGAAATAGGGGAGATGTATATTTTCGTTTTTTCTGCAAAACACCTGGGTGGAGAATGATGAAGCCAAACAAAGTTGCTTGTCAAAATGACTTGTTAGTGAAACATGAGCTAGAGGATTATATGATCTGTATGGAAATGATTCCTCACTTAGTAGGTGCTTAGCCAGTAGTAGCTGTTTTCACCTTGGCAATGAAAATGTTCTTCTTCTTTAAGAGTGCAGCTCCAAGACTCTTCTGCCAGACACTCTCACGGGTAGTTTCTTATTCATTCAGTCCATACTCACTGGATGCCTACTACCTGCCAAGCTCTGTGCAAATGCTGGAGCTTTTGCCAAATGTCTTTATGCTAAAAACAAGAAACAAAGGAGTGAAAAAGTAGGTTTTCTTTCATTAAATAGTGAACAGAGCTAATTTTCCTCTCCCCCTCCCTCCCTTCAGCAAGAGCTAAACACCAATAGGTGTGCTTTAGAAAACCCCAAACAAGCCTTAAAGCACCTCGGAATGCACACGCTGTGTACCATTTGCTATGTGAGCACCCAACCTTCCATCAACAAAGAAAACCTTCGCCCTCTCTTTATCCCTGTGTCCCAGCATCCCAGTCAGCCCCTGCCTCCTTGCACTTTAAGCAGAAGCCCTTGTTCGTGCTCTCACTAAAGGTAGCTTCTGCTTCTCTGGCCGTCAGGTGACATTTTGTTGAATGTGAATGGGGTCGAACTGACAGAGGTCAGCCGGAGTGAGGCAGTGGGATTGTTGAAAAGAACATCCTCCTCGATAGTACTCAAAGCTTTGGAAGTCAAAGAGCGTGAGCCCCACGAAGACTGCGGCAGCCCAGCAGCCCTGGATTCCAACCACAACATGGCCCCACCCAGTGACTGGTCCCCATCCTGGGTCATGTGGCTGGAATTACCACGGTAAGTCCCAACGCCACATCCCTTTTAGGGGCGTGGGAGGAAACAGTTACATTTCTTAAACCACGCTTTCACTTTCTAGGGCTGATTCATGGCACTAGCATCTTAATGAGACCCAAACTTGGATGTGGGACTGTGAAATAAGTCTCTCTTCCTATTTGTAACAGAAAATGCATGTGGGCATTCTGGGGCAAGGGTGGAAGGCTGGATGTGGAAACACTGCTAGGTGTTCGGGTTGAGGCGCTCACAGGGCTGCCATGTACAGCTAGCTATGCAGGTTGTTCATGCAGCAGGGAACTTCCTAGACAGGCAGAGGGCGCAGAGGCCCAGCCTGTTTTTACATGCCCTGGAGCTGAGCTGCACTTCCTAGGAGAACGTTCACCTTTGCCTAATCTGCTAGTGGCAGCCCTGGAACCTTGCAGGGCAGGAAGGCTGACTGCCTCCTGTGGCTTTACTTTTTTTTTTGATATAGAGTCTTGCTCTGTCACCTAGGCTAAAGTGCAGTGGCATGATCTGAGCTCACTGCAACCTCGGCCTCCTGGGTTCAAGGAATTCTCCTGCCTCAGCCTCCCTGAGTAGCTGGGACTACAGGAGCATGCCACCATGCCCAGCTCATTGTTGTATTTTTAGTAGAGATGGGGTTTTGCCATGTTGGCCTGGCTGGTCTCAAACTCCTGAGCTCAAGCGATCTCCCTGCCTCAGCCTCCCAAAGTGCTGGGATTACAGGTATGAGCCACTGTGTCCGGCCAGTTTTACCTTTTGAGTGGCCTTGGCTGTGCATTAAACAATGCCATAGAACATTTTGCCTTTGCTAAGGTGTTTAAGCACCTGTTGTTTGGGGACATTCCTTCGATCATCTCTCCTTAGTGCCTGCCCCTGAGAAGTTCTTGTGTAAAACTTCTGGAAGTAGCTGGGTTGTCATTTTAGTGACATTTTAGAGCCTTACATGAAGTCATTACTTGTCTCAATTACTTCAGGGAAGAATTTGGGATCGGCCCTACAAAATGGCTAGATACAGAAGTATTAAAAGAACAGATAAGTTGATGTTTGCTCACCTGCATCAGAGCATAAACTATTGGCCTTCAGATGATTATCTTGCTAATTCGAATGTGTGATTTAATGCTAAATATTAGCATTACTGAAGAAGATATACTCACATGGGACTAAATATGGAAAAATGAAAGTGAGTTTCAGTACATTTAGTTTTAGTACCTTTTTCTTGAGGGTGGAGATGAGTCTTTGGGTCTTTTTAAATTTCAAATGAATTTTTCAAGAAAAACAAAACTTCATCTCAAATACAAAGTAACCTAGATTCCTGTTTGAGCCTTCACTACTTGATAAATTATTTTTTAAATCAGTATATTTTCAAAAGGCCTTAAGCAGTTAAAATCTGAGCATTGAGTCAGTTTAAAAATCTTTGGACATTTTGGAACTGAGCCTGAGTGAAAGTAGAGTGTTACTTTAAAGGTTTATTTTTTAAAATATTTCTGAAACTAGGATCTATTAAAATCATTTTGTTTTTTGTGTCTGAAAGCTATTCTGTCATGTAATCAAAAGTTCCTCATTATTCATATGTGTAAGAGAGGATAATGCATCGTGTTTTTGCTCCAAATACAACCAAGTGAATGGCTTTCTTTCCCTCTACCTTTTGTCATTTGCCCTGGGTCATGGCACTTCTCTGCTTTTGCTAGAAGTAGAGTCTGGGCTGGGTGTGGTGGCTCATGCCTGTAATCCCAGCACTTTGGGAGGCTTAGGTGGGCGGATCACGTAAGACCAGGAGTTCGAGGCCAACATGGCAAAACCCCCTCTCTAGTAAAAATACAAAAAATTAGCCAGACGTGGTTGCATGTGCCTGTAGTCCCAGCTACTCAGGAGGCTGAAGCATGAGAATTGCTTGAACCTGGGAGGTGGAGGTTGCAGTGAGCTGATATCGTGCCACTGTACTCCAGCCTGGGCAACAGAGAGAGACTCTCTCAAAAAGAAAAAGTAGAGTCTGCATTTTATTTCCTCTAAATGGATAGTAGTAAGGAGGCATGATATCCCGGCATAGACAACACTGATTTTCAGAACCCTGGAGATTCCTAGTTTCCTTCATTCCATCCTCTCCCTGTAGTAATAGAATAAACATGGTAGAAAATTCAGAGTGTACCAAAGCGTGTAAAGAAAACAAAAAGTAAGTCTCCCTTCAGATCCATTCAACAGAGGTGATCACCATTATCAATTTCTTGTGTATTCTATGTCAGAGGTTGGCGAACTTTTTCTAAACAGGGCCTGATAGTTTAGGCTTTGAGGGCCACACAGTCTCTGTGGCAAATACTCATTTCTACTGTTGTGGTGTGAGAGCAGCCACAGACAATATGTGAATGAATAGGGATGGTTGCGTTCCAATAAAATTTTACTTATAAAACCAGGTGGTGGGCTGGGCTGCAATTTACTCACCCCTGGCCTATGTTTATATGTATACACACACATATACACAGACACAATGGTAGCATACACACTCCTATGTACCATGCATTTTATTTAAAAACAATCCTGATGTATCTTGATTATCGTAATAGGCTTTGCACCATCGTCGTGTCCACTGCTGACAGGGACTGGTTAAATAACTTATGGTACGTCTGTACAGCCATACGCCAGGTTGCCTGCATGTCAAATTATTGCATCACACTTCATTCCTATAGGACTACAGAGGCATTGCATCACTGCTAAGTAACACTGAATGGTGCGGAGAAGTGGGGGCTCATGTCATGTCTTTCTCTCCATATGTGGCTTGGTCTTTTCACCTAACATTCAAAATAACTGTTCTATTATTTTGTTGCTGCTTTTCAGGGACTCTAGATATTTGTTTCTTTTTGTCTTTGAGACAGAGGCTCGCTCTGTCGCCAGGCTGGCGTGCAGTGATGCGATATCAGCTCACTGCAACTGCTGCCTCCTGGGTTCAAGCGATTCTCCTGCCTCAGCCTCTGGAATAGCTGGGATTACAGACGTGTGCCACCACGCCCAGCTAATTTTTGTATTTTTAGTTGAGATGGGGTTTCACCATGTTGGCCAGGATGATCTCGATCTCTTGACCTCCTGATCCGCCCACCTTAGCCTCTCAAAGTGCTAGGATTACAGGTGTGAGCCACCACGCCCGGCCTGTTCTTTGATATCTTTTATATTTCATATCTTTAATGTTCTGTTGGATCCTTTTCAACTCTTTTTTCATTTTTTTTTCTTGGCTTTTAATTTTTATTTTTGGGTCAGGGTACATGTGCGGGTTTGTTACAGAGGTAAACTCATGTCACACGGGCTTGTTGTACAGATGAGTTCATCGCCTAGCTACTAAGCCTAGTACTCATTAGTTATTTCTTCTGATTCTCTCCCTCCTCCCACCCTCCCCCCTCAAGTAGGCCCCAGTGTGTGTTGTTCCCCTCATTGTGTCCATGTGCTCTCATCATTTAGCTCCCATTTAAGTGAGAATATGAGGTATTTCGTTTTCTGTTCCTGAGTTAGTTTGCTAAGGATAATAGACTCCAAATCCATCCATATTTTCACAAGAGATGATCTTGTTCTTCATGGTGACTGCACAGTATTCCGTGATGTATATGCACCACATTTCCTTTACCCAGTCTACCATTGATGGGCATTTACGTTGATTCTGTGTCTTTGCTATTGTAAATGGTATTGATGGGCATTTACGTTGATTCTGTGTCTTTGCTATTGTAAATGGTGTCACATGTTTTCTTGGCTTATTTGCATCTGTCCTTCAGTGCTCATTGTGTTTTCAATATTATTTCTGTTTGTTTGTAACCACATTCATTGCTGTGGTGTTTTTATTTTTCTCTTCCACTTTTTCATTCTGTTTCATCAGCTCATTTCTTGTGTTGTCTCGCCATATCTTCCTTGAAGTCTTATCTCTGCATCCATAGAGCAGTTGCTTCAGAAATATTTTAAATTCATAGTAATATGGTTGGTTATACATTTTATTTTCTATAGTAGCACTTGGTTTCTGTGCAGCATTTTTCTAGTGAGTGGTTTTGTCCGTTCCTATTTTTCCTGTTACTTCCTCTCTCCTCTTGTTTTTTGTAGTGCATCTCTGCTTTTTTTTTTTTTTTTTTTTTTTTTTTTTTATTTTTTTTTTTTTTTTTTTTTTTTTTTTTTTTTTTCTTTCTTTCTTTTTTTTTTTTTTTTTTAAATAATCTTTGAGTGAGGTAAAATTTTCTGAGAAGCTATCTGCTGCAGGTTCATAACAGAGGAAGAACCAGGGCCATATTCCAGATAGTAGGAATTTCTCCTTATGGCACCAGCTCATGAGTGTGTTTATTTCTCCCCAGCTGACTGAGACCAGCCTGGCAGAGCCTTTCACATGTGTAGACTCTCTTCCTCTACTTTCCCACACTGGCCAACTGCATCGCATATCTGTGCATTATATCTTGGCTTCTCATTGGCTTACCCATCCCTTTCTCTTCTGCCAGTCTTGGCCCAGGGAAGCCTGCTAGCAGCCAGCCCTCCTTGTCTGGTGTTCCCATGTAGAATGGGTGTTTTGCCCATCAGAACGGCTGTTTGCTAAGACCTCAAGGCCCTACTGGCTTGGTCTATCCTCTCCAGTTGTGGGTGTCTTCTCTTCCATCTTTCCTCTTTGACTGCCTTTGGCACCTCTCTCTCGTATGTGGTGACTCTTTGTTTTCTTTAAGATGGAATTTGCATTTCTGTTTCCAAGTCTCCAAGTTGCTTCTGTGGTGTTGTTTAAAAGAAGAGGAAACCCAAGCTTCACTCTGCCATTTTGCAACTAGAAGTGTGTCCTCCTGGTGCTTCTCAGAAACATCAGTAGTCAGTCATGCCCCTAGATCAGGCTTCAGATAGTTCCAGGGTGTGAGCCCCCTTCAGTTTTCATGAGAGGGGGCATCTGCTTCCATCTCTAATCACAACTGCTCAGAGCCTCAAGGACACGAGTTTCTCCCTGACTGGTGCAATACCACTGGCTTAAATGTCTCTAGCCATTTAGCATGAGTATCATT